TGAAGCGATATTGTGGCTTCAGACCTTTACAGAATCCCACACTGTTACGGAGTGAGATTACAAGCCTGACTGTGAAATGACCTGGTCACATATGTCCTTTTTAGTGAATCTATATGCTGACGTCAGCATATTGGGGTCAAAATTGGAGCGGAAAGGAACTGACCACCCTACCGCATCATCCCGCGGCCTAGTAAGCATGTTTCTCTACGAATATGTTCCCTACGTTCACATGAACATGGGACAAAAAAAAAAAAAAATACTGTTGGGGAAATGAATATTGTTAAGGCACTGAAGGACAGCAATGCGATGTATTAAAAAGACAGGAAATATGCAGAATAATAATAATAATAATAATAATAATAATAATGATAATGATAATGAAAATAATAGTCATGATAGTAAAAGTGATAATGATAATAGAATAAGGATGATGACGGTGATGATGATGATGATGATGATAATAATAGTAATAGTAAGAGTAATAATGATAATAGTAAAAGTAATAATGATAATAGTAATAGTAATAATGATAATAGTAATAGTAATAATGATAATAGTAATAGTAATAATGATAATAGTAATAGTAATAATGATAATAGTAATTATGATAAAGATTATATTAATGATAATAATGATAAGAATAGTAATAATGATAATAGTAATAATGATAAAGATAACACTAATGATAATAATGATAAGAATACCAATAATGATAATGATAAGAATACCAATAATAATAATAATAGTATTAGAAAAAAAGTAATAATGATAACAGTAATCATAATGATAATACAGATAACAGCATGGATAAGGACAAAGCTCCGGAGAATGAACAAGACGATGATGCCACCATTTATTAATTTGCAGCCGGTAAGTATCCTTTTATTCCCATCTCTCCTCTTTCTTCATTACGTAGAGAGGAAAAAAAAAGTGGTTAGTGTGACATCAGGGACTCATCTGACCTCTTTCAGAAGCCTCGCCTGAGAATCGTTTGAATAGAAACAGCCTGTTTATCTTGATAATTTTCCTAACGACTGTTCCCTCCTTGATAATGCTGAGGTGATGCATAATTGTGGTTGATGGTTTATTTCTTTTTTTTTGTTTTGTTTTTGTTATGTCGTCTTTGTTTTGTTTGCTTTATTTTTGCTTTTGTTTTGTTAGTTTGTTTTTCTTTTGCTTTATTTATTATTATCATTATTATTATAGTATTTTTTTTCTTTCTTTTCTTTTTCTAAAGTTCTTATACTTGTATCTAAAAAGGTGTTCCCTAAAACGTCGACTCATACATGTATTCCCCACCCCCAGGAACGCCCCGAAGAGATAGCAGAAGGGGACACCCCAGCCTGCAGATTTTGGGCCGCGTGCCACAGAGAAACCCGACAGACCGAAGTGGAGAGACTGAGGACTCGGGTGTCTCTTGGAAGCCTCACGGAGCCAACTTTTAGGCGGGTGTCCATGAAAGGCCGCGAGGGTTTTGCAATAGGCTTTCCTCCGGTCGATTCTACAGGTGAAGACAACAGCGATGGACTCATGAGAAATACAACATGCGAAGAAAGGAACAAAGTGCATACACACACACACACACACACACACACACACACACACACACACACATATGTATATATATAATATATATTATATTATATATATATGTATATATTTTATATATTATATATATACATATATATATATATATATATATATATATATATATATATATATATATATATATGTATGTGTATAGGTATATACACACACACATATATGTGATTGTGTTTATATATATATATATATATATATATATATATATATATATATATATATATGTATGTATGTACGTATGTATTTATGTAATTAGTAACAAAGATTCATCGCCAAGTCGTCGGAAAGACATTAATCATATTATCGGAATTTCTGAACACGGTGCCAGAAGGCACCCTTGTGACATCAATAGCAACACGCACCAATGTTGCACGAAAACTGAACCATGTATGTGTCAAATGACGTCGGCACCGGGAGTGTACTGGCACCAGCTAATGCCTGCAGCTTGTGGACTACGAGTCTGTACCCAGAGCTTAGATATGAATATATTTCTTCTTTATAGTGATGTGGTAAAAAATGAGATGAAAAATAACGATAATCTATAAAGATACTGAATTATGATAGAAAATTGGCACCGTCTATACAGTATTGCTATACCTTTTCCCCTTAATGATTATGCAGTTTCACGAAGGATATAGTATATGATATTTCCTGCAAC